ATTGTTATTTTGAAAGACCTATAGCTCTTAAGACTGCATGTGTCAATAACCAGGAGCCTGAAGAGGAACCTTGAATGCTTGTCTCAGGAATCGGGGGGGGAGGGGGGGTGTTGCATTGTGCAATTCTCCATTTCCAGGAGGTTTGACCTTAGAGCCTGCCCAGGATTCTCAGAACTAGCAGCATAACCATGTTCTTCTCCAACTCAGCTGTCTTAGAAGTAGGTGCAATGTGGCATTTCGGACCCCCTGTCACATACAGATCAAAGTCAGTCCAAAGGAGTACTATTTTCTGTCACAAAGAAAATATTTCCATTACTTGATCACATGCCATCCTGCAAGAAGTTCTATATCAATGTTTCCCTCTGCTCTCAGCATGCAGGTTGTAACACTGCTCATTACAGTTTGTAGTATTTCTTTTTAATGATATCACAGAGGTTATAACCAGGTCTGTCTTCTCAAGATACGAAAAGAATGTTTTTTGTAAATGCATTAAAAATATGAAAATTCTCTTCAGCTTTTTTCCTAGAAGTGTCCTTGGTTTGCTTATAGCTGGTTATTTTGGGTGGCATAAGGTTGTCTTATGTTGCCCGCTCACTCCCTTTTAATACATAGTACTTAAATTACAGCACGTGTAAGACAGTGGAAAGACAACTCGAATTTATTCTCATTCTCAGCTAAAAGCCAGCATATAAACTCTGCTTTTTCCACACCAAAATGCAGGGGCTAACACAAATGTCACTTAATGATATATTTTACATGCCTTGTGAAAAAAAAACGAGGTCCACGCCTGGTGTAAACTGCCAGGCAATAACATGGAATCGCCTTAAACTGTTGATCCGCTATTGAGACCTCGAAAAAAGCAGCTTGGAGGGAAGAAAGATTTTGTAATACAGTTGGTGATCCGCCCAGTGATACTGACCCCTGTATCCCTGACTGCCAGGGATCACTTCACTGACCCCGCACCTGTGGGGGGGGGGTTGGTGTGTCTCTGGCTTGAGGGGACCGTGCTCGATTACCTTAATGGTTTCACGCGCAAAAGGCGTCCCAGTGCTGGCACCGGTACGCCGTCGGGACGGGCACCCGGCCCCTCTGATGTGCCTGTGTGAGACGAGGGGGCTTCTCCGGCACCCCGAGGCGGGCGGGCGGGGTAAATGCCGCCCGTGACCCGCAGCAGCTCGGGATGGCGGGGGAGCCCCTGCGGGCC